TTCCCGCCGAAGTAGTGCACTCTTGGCTTGTCCGCCACCTTGATGGCCGCCCTCATCCTCCCGTCAAGCGCCCTGTCGACTACCTCAAGTGGGCTGTGAGCTTCACCATGATTACTGGTAGCTTGACTGGCGTCTACGTCGCCTGGCCTTACGTCGTGCCCGTGATCCAGAACCGCAATGTCTGGGCTGCCTTCACTTTGATTGCTATCCTGCTGTTCACCAGTGGCCACATGTACAACCAGATTCGCAAGGTCCCCTATGTTGCCAACAACCCGCGCGGTGGTGTGAGCTACTTCGCTGCTGGCTTTCAGAACCAATACGGCTTGGAGACACAAATCATTGCTGCTTTGTGTAAGTTCTCGCGAGCTCTCTATTCGTCTGCCTCTTCGGTTTCGCTAACTTTGCATGATCTATCAGACGGTATTCTCTCCTTTGCGGTCATCTCCTTGGCCGTCAAGGTGCCCAGGATTGCCGACCCCAAGTCCCAGACTATCGCAGTCTGGGCTTGGAGCGGCGTTCTCTTGGTTGTGTACAGCTTCCTTCTGAGCATCTTCCGTCTCAAGAACGCTGGCTACCCATTTTACCTGCCACCATTTATGTAAGGCAGCAGCGAGTGACAAGGCAATATCAACGATCCATCCTGCCAAGATCTTTATCGCCAGGCTTGCACACCAAATCTTTGAAAGCCAAGTACACATTTTTAGGCGGGTTTTGTTGAAACGGTCATTGTTAGTTGTAAAATAGAGCTGTTGCTTCTGAGAGAAATAGGAAAACAAAAGGAATAGAGCTACTCAAGTCAATTGAGGGCTTCACAAAAATATTGACGCTGTTTCTGAAGGTTTCACAAAGCCCCTGTTAGATCCTGTGCCTGCGAACGGGTTGAGAGATGCAACTGGCGGCAATATCTTGTTCTTTCTCCGGCCCACCGTCTCTCATATCTGACAATACAATCAACAGCTAAGTCTCGCTACGTGCCTGAAACTCAGCCCCCCCTTAACAGTGATCACGTAGTGCTTCAAGCCAGGGAAAAGTTGGGATGTGACAAAACAAAACAATATGCTGATGATGCGTTCAGTCGTTTTAGCCGAACCGGCGCGGGAGGAAGAGAGCAAATATTATACTTTGGACGCAACGCACCCCAACTTTTCAACTCGTAGATTTGTCACACCTCACGACTGGCGAGTATGCCGGCTAATAAGCCGCAGCTTAATGACCGGAACTTGATACCCAACAGCGAATGGCAAGCAACTTATCTCGTCTTCAGAACATGGGATTGCGGATCATCCATATCGAGGGGATTGATCCAACAGCTACCACTTGACAACTTGACCAATTCGATCCAGAGGACCCTTCGGTGGTCATCCAGGTGGCGTGGGAAAAATTCGGACATGATTATACCAAACCAGACCCAGCGAGTGTCCGGACCCTTTTTTCATACCACCTACCATCTTACATCTCCAGGGTAAAACAGTAATTCTCATCATAGCGAAGCCTGACACAAGAATTTGAGTAATTTTGAACTATCTATAATTGAGAAATTGCGAGAATATTAGCAGAGAACCGCCACTTCTAACCATTATGCTACTCAAAAGGGGGGGTGGTACTTCCCCGGACCATCAAGTCCGGCATTTATCAAAGAACCGTAGACAATTACCGATGGCAAAACCACGGTGCTTCTTCAAGAGGTAGGGTACAACTCTGATGCCACTTTAGCGTTTACCCTCAAATGTTGGTCACATAGCTATGCGTGTTGATCTTGTACCATAACACGACCAACAAGGCTTCCCGTCTCCCACTCAATGCACGAATGAAGAAGCCTTTTAGTTCAAAGAAATAGCCTCTCCAATACAAATGTTTGAGATTTACGGAGTCTCAGCTGGCTCGCAATATCTAGCTTTTCTCCGTACATCCCAGGAAGGTTAGGTTGTGTGTCTACACTGGAGGGATCCGCTTGCAAATTGCGCGAGATCATCAAGACACCCCAGACCAAGGGGCCGTCATTCGAGAGAAACTACACACCACCATAAAACGTGCGTGAAGTAGACTGCCTCTCCAAATTAAGTTTCCTTTTCCAAGATCGCCGCCGCCTCCTCCTTTGTCCCACGACACTGAACTTCCCCACACTTTCTCAGGTACCAATCGCCAATCCCATGCTCTGCCCGAGCAATGGTTCGGCTGGAAAGACAAAATATTAAAAGTAAATTGCTGTATGAACAAAGGTGGGCACGGGACCTGAAGAGCGTAGCCTCTTCCGTCCACTGAAGAGCCGTGAACAGTTGAGGCGATTCTCAAAACCATGCATAAGATGTATCCATGCGAATGTGCTTGGTCAAGGTGGACTTCCTATAGTGACAACCTCGGAAGTTCCTGGCCGAGAAGCTATCGCGTGTGGCGGGCCTGTCTTCCTGATTGCCATGTTGTGTTATTGTTCATCTCGAACCGCTCTCAGGAGAATGGGAGGTGAGGCAAAATTGGCACGATTAGGTAAAAGAAAGATAAAGTGTGAGAGTGTGTATGGCTTAACCTGGTTAACCAGAAGGCAGACAACCGGGACAGTACGCCAAACGAGGAAGCGAACTCATTAGTATAAAGACCATAAAGCACCTCTCCGCTTCTAGTCCTGCCATTTCCAATTTCTTCATCACCCCACCATCATCACACCCAAGCAGTAGGTCTCTGGTTCGTGTCTCTCCTCCCCTATTTCACGATGAAGTTCTCCAACTCCGCCGCCTTGGCCTTTGCCGCCACCACCATTGCCGCCCCTTCCACCCCTACCTTGCAGGAGAAGCCGCGTGCGGTCCAGGCCGGCTGCGCTTCAGCTGTCACCCTCGACGCCAGCACCAACGTGTGGAAGAAGTACACGCTCCACGCCAACAAGTTCTACCGGACCGAGGTCGAGGCGGCCGTCGCGGCCATTTCGGACTCGAGCCTGGCAGCCAAGGCCGCCAAGGTGGCCAACGTCGGCAGCTTCCTCTGGCTGGACTCAATCGAAAACATTGGCAAGCTGGAGCCGGCGCTCGAGGACGTCCCCTGCAACCACATCCTGGGCTTGGTCATTTACGACTTGCCCGGCCGTGACTGCGCTGCCAAGGCCTCCAACGGCGAGTTGGCGGTTGGCGAGCTTAGTAGGTATAAGACTGAGTATATCGATGGTGAGTCCTTCTTTGCTCCATGGCCTGCCCATTTATGCCACAAAGGACAAATAATGCGTCTAACAAAGTGACGTTTGCCAATACAGTCATCGTCAAGATCCTCAAAGCGCATCCCAAGACCGCCTTCGCGCTCGTCATCGAGCCCGACTCACTCCCCAACCTCGTCACCAACTCGGACCTGCAGACCTGCAAGGACTCCGCGTCCGGCTACCGCGACGGCGTTGCCTACGCCCTCAGGAACCTCAACCTCCCCAATGTCGTCATGTACATTGACGCGGGCCACGGCGGCTGGCTCGGGTGGGACGCAAACCTCAAGCCCGGAGCGCAGGAGTTGGCCAAGGCCTACAAGGCCGCGGGATCCCCCAAGCAGGTCCGCGGCATCGCTACCAACGTTGCTGGGTGGAATCAATGGTATGTTTGCCACATCTCGTAGGACTTTCAAAAAAAAAGAAAAAAAAAGAGTAAAGAAGAGAGAGAGAAAAACGACGAAGATTGCTAATAATAACCTTGTGAAAACAGGGACCTCACCCCCGGCGAATTCTCCAAAGCCTCGGACGCCAAGTACAACAAGTGCCAAAACGAGAAGCTCTACCTCGACAACTTTGGCCCTGCCCTCAAGTCCGCCGGCATGCCCAACCACGCCATCGTCGACACGGGCCGCAACGGCGTCTCCGGTCTGCGCCAGGAGTGGGGCAACTGGTGCAACGTCAACGGCGCCGGCTTTGGCGTTCGCCCGACTTCTTCCACGGGTCACGACCTCGCTGACGCTTTCGTCTGGGTCAAGCCGGGTGGTGAGTCCGATGGTACTAGCGATAGCAGTGCCACTAGGTACGATAGCTTCTGCGGGAAGAGCGATGCGTATCAACCTAGTCCAGAGGCGGGATCGTGGAACCAGGATTACTTTGAGATGCTTGTGAAAAATGCTAAGCCTTCTTTCTAAGAGGAAGGCACAGAGGAAGAAGACGTCTGAGTAGGGGTTTGAAAGCAGAGTGGCAGGAAATGGGAGAAAGGAGGCTAGGTTTGTATTTGGGAACGAGAAGCAACTTGGACAACACAATGTTGTGTACCATACCGGTTTTTCCTAGGATTGCTTTTTGTTCCCTCTCATAGTCAAGACTAAAGAGGCCATGTCCAGCTAGTCATTACGTGCATAACGACTGCCCCTTGCTCCATGAGTATTTCACAACCTCGTGCTGGGTTGTAAGCAGACATCTCCTTCTGTATGTGGCAAAGGCTGAAGCCTGGCTTACTCCCCCGAGTGTCCTTCCAGCCATGATTGCTTGTTGTCGATATGAGAATGATGTTCAGGGTCCCCGGGAGTCGTTTGCTGGATACATCTCCACTCGCAGGCCCGCTTTCCACGTGTGATTTCAAGCCAAGTTTGTGTCGATGAAGCCTGGTCCCTGTTGTCATGTTGTCATCCACACTGCAAGCGCGGAAGTCGTGGAGGAGATATTACCTTCGTCTCACTTCCCGAATAATTACCCGTTGAGTTTTCTTTCGTACCAAAGTGGAGGCAAAATATTGATAACGTGTTGGAGGCGGAAGAGAAAACCTTGCAAAAGGTACGTGTAAAGTGACGCGTTGGCAAAGGAAGTAGCAGATGAACATGACGAGGTGCGCGGGATTCTACGCGCTTGTGAAGCGCATTGTCAACATGTTAACTGGGAAGAAGGGGCGCGCGCAGATCGCAAAAACGGGGCTCACCAAGAGCTAGTGACCACAGGGACCACCTCACTAACGCCAATCAACCCAGAGGCTCACTGTTACAACGGTGACGCAGCTAGACGAGTGGGTGGAGGGATTCCTCGTGCACCCTAAGGTGTGGAAGTGCCTGGGCAAATATCGAGTATATAGCTGCCGCCATGGGAATGGAATCCATGGTCTTTCTGGCAGGTTGTATTGAGCTGTGCGCATCACCGAGTCCTACTCGGCCAACCACCACCTTGTTGACAAACAAGCTCGAAGACCCTCCTTATAAGATCTCCTCGGTCGTCCCGTCTTACTACTGTATGGCACGGACTTCAAGTAGCAACCGTTTCCGAACGGCTACCGCGTGCTCCGTCAAGATTTCCCTTTCCGACGGTCGAAACGATCGAACGGTCGCGAGCGGGTGGTGATACTGATGTTGCACTAACGAAACAACAGCTCAGCAGAGCGAGTGTGGCCATCATGATATCATTTGCTAGGCATTTCTCGTCATCCACTGGAGTTAATTCTCGGCAAATCTCGGCTGCGTCTCGACGGTTGACTAAGCCTGTCGCCTTCGTCCCTTCTCGACTAAACTGTGTGGGGTGCTCTCGTTGACTCTTTTGTCGACAGCACCACAATGAGCTGCGTCGCATTGACCATTTCAAGGACAGGTGCTAGTCTTTTTCTTTTCCAATCGCCTCACTTAAACAGTCTGTACAAGCCCAGATAGGCCATGCCGCATGAGAGACCAGTGATGGCCCACCTCCTGCTTCTCATACCAAAGAAGGACTTGCTGGCTAGGATCTCGGCTTGGGCTTTGGTGAGCTGGGAGTGGCCGGAATAATAACTGTATGCGGCAAGACCAAGGAAAGCACCTCCGCCTAGTAAGAATGTTAGCATCTAGGGTGTTTAAGTACCTATGAATACACGAGTCCTCACCAATGACCCGGCAGGGAAGGCAGTCATCACCGCGGTCCTGCTTGAGAATGTCCTGGAGCTTTTCAGGCCTCTCCAGCGTATGAAGCGGAGGAATGCTGTCTTTGGCCATGGCTAATGACTCCAGTGAGAGTTGAACGAGCGTAGAGGTACTGATTCCGTCGTCTAATGATGCCCCTATTGGCTCCTTTTGTGTGTTATTGTTTACATGGAGTGAACAGTGGAGCTTGTTGGAGAGATCTGCCGTTGTCCACCGCCCACGCCGTTGACTTTCTGGCCGATTGAGTCTTGGCGAGGCAGAGAGCATGGGCCACATGTTGCTATGCGGGTTCCCATTGCGTCAGCGCTTCCTAGGAACAGTGCCCGGTCTGGCACTGTCCCTGGCCCATCGCTGCGTGATTGCCCAACAGCAACCCACAACCTAGCCAGAGGACCGCCATCACCGAACCCCTCACTCCCGTTATCTCTCTCTTTTTTCTTTCATCATGAACGGTGTCATCGAGGCCCTCCACATTTTCGACGAGCACAAGTAAAGCTGCACTCTTGATCCAGAGCAATGGAAAACACAAAAGCTAATATCCAACTCCAGCAGCCCCATCTTGTCGCACACATACACATCGCGTCCGCTGTCGCCGTCGTACTTGCTGCCCCTCTACCTCGAACATCCCGCCCCGAGACCGAACCTGATATACCTCCCTAATACCAACCCACCCACTCTCGTCTTCAGCCTCAAACATGCCAACCTTCTCTTTCTCCTAACAACCTCCTCCGAGGTTGAGCCTCTGCTCGTTCTCGAGTTCCTCCACCGTATCGTCGATTCCTTCGAGGAGTTTCTGGGCACCCCATTACTGGCCCACAAGATTGAGAGCAACTACGATGTCGTAGCTCAGCTTCTCACAGAGATGTGCGATGCCGGCACCATCAACACAACAGAACCCAATGCACTGCGCGACTTGGTTGAGGTGGAAGGCTTTATGGGCAAGCTCCTCGGCAATTTGAACCTCCCCACGTATGCGCATCCATTACCCGTTTTGGACAAAAGAAAACAACCCCCCTGACTGACTTGCGCATCTCGCCAGAAAACCAACCTTCTCCAACCCCAGCCCAGCTTCTCTCCTTGCCCAGCAGAGCACTCTAGCCCTCCCCTGGCGTCGAAACAATGTACGACACACCCAAAACGAGCTCTATGCCGACGTAATCGAAACCCTCTCTGTCACCCTCGCTCCATCCGGCCGGCCTCTCGCCGCCTTCGCAAACGGCACAATCGCCTTCACCTCCAAGGTCTCTGGAGTGCCCGACATAGTCGTTACTCTAACGGGTCCAACCGGCAAGCACAACCTCGGCAGCATCATTGACCTACCTGTCTTCCATCCCTGCGTGCGTCTCGCAAAATGGCGCGAGCAACCCGGCGTTCTCAGCTTCATCCCTCCCGATGGCCGCTTCACCCTAGCTGGTTACGAAGTCGACCTTCTCCCGCTGGGCGCCCGGAACCTAGGCAACATGAGCGCCTCAGCAAACAACCTTAAGCTCCCCATCAGTCTGGAGATCAAGACCTGTCTCGGTCCCACTGGCTCTGACTTTGAAGTCCGCCTCACCGTGAACAGAATCCCCGGTACTAGTGGCGGCGGAGGTGGCGGTAGTGGCTCATCATCAAACTACCCGCTATCCTCAGCCAGCGGCGTCGGTCGGGGCATGGGAGGCGGTCCCCAACCCGGCACGCCCGCCTCCCCCACGCTTCAAGACCTCAAAGTCACCGTCCCCTTACCGGCAGACGTGCGCAACCTCGCCGAAATCCGCACCGCCAAGGGTGACGCCACATACAACCCCGGTGACCGTTTTCTCGAGTGGACTATTCCCAACAAGGACGTCGCCGCCGGCTTTGCTTCGCACTTTGCTCTCCGTTGCACCGTCGTCGGCCAATCTATTTCCGGCGAAGACGAAGACGACAATGACGACCCCACCGGTTTCGGCTTCAACACCTCCTCCGCTGGAGGCCGCGACTGGTCCTACGACGCCGGTGAACCAGCACCTTACCAGAGCGCGAGCGATCTCTTATCTGGCGGCGACAAGAAACTAACAGCCGAGCAAGAAAAAGAGGAAAAAGAGCGGAGGGACGGGAAACTGGCGCAGCAGAACAAGATCCTGATGCCCAGCTCGGCGAGCGTGAGCTTTGCCGTCAAGGGGTGGACGGCGAGCGGGATCAAGGTGGAGAGCATCATGCTGGATCCGAGGAGGAGTAAAGGGCTGGCGGAGACGGTGAGGCCGTTCAAGGGGGTCAAGTATTTGACTGTTAGTAAGGGGGGCGTGGAGATTAGGTGCTGAGGGATGAATGGATGCTGAGGGAGTGGAGGAGTAATGGAAGTGTGGCGATCGAGTTATATTGACCAGCCTACTTCAGAGATGATGGATGATGGCGTAGAGTCAATGGTTAACATTGGATGTCTTCGAGTATGTTCATAGAAGCTATCTGCATGAGGACTTCGCATCTCTAACAACCACATCCTGCGATCGTCAGACTATACCTACATGTTGTTTCCACCCCTTCTTTTGTAATTTCATTGATTCAACCTCGCTTACGATCGCAATCATCAGTTTGAATGGTTACTCATCAACAGAACATCAGGCACAGGCGGCAAAAGTCAGAATGAGTGATCGTGACCCTTAGACCTCATCATAATTCATCTGCTCTTGCTTTGGCTGCGAGTTCTAATGGTCCGTCGTCTTTCTTTTGATATTCCTCTCCTTTTCTTCGCCGTCTGCTTCTTGTTACTGACTTAAATACTATACACTGACAACCGACCCGCTGAAAGCACAATTCTATTATTTACATGTCACATGGGCAGAAATGGAGACTACATGGCCAGACATTTTTCTTTATTTTGGTAGGTATGATTGATTCTATGCATCATATAACGCAACGGGCAATCCTATTGCGTGTCAGCCTACGGACACGTGCTAGTATCACAACCCTGCAACAACGACAACTACCACTGAGTCGAGTTAAAGATGTCATGAATATGATTTTTCCGCTGTTGGTTTCATTTTTGTTTTTCATTTGTTTGTTGAAAAGAAAAAAAGAAGAAAAAAGGAAAAATTGCCATTCAAAACCAGACTACAATGACTATGTGGCATCAACTTGAACCTCCCATAGAATGGGGAAAACCCGTATCCTCTCATCTGGCTGGCATATTTGCCTAGTGTAACAGCCACAGCCAAAAGTGTAACGCGCATGTCTTCTCCTACGTCCTTCAAGATGTTCAACAACGGTCCCCCCCCCTTGCCAATTCATAACCATGAGGTCAGCATGATAGCTGCGAATCCAGGCCATCACACTCGAAGGACGTTTGATCGCCAAGGAGGGTTGTTTCTGCCGTTCGTCCTAGGACAAGTCAAAAGGCTGCTGGCATGTTATCGCAGTGGATTGTGTTACTGTGTTCAGTCAGAGGTAACCGATTGCAGAAGAATAGTTCCAGCTCTGGACCTCGAATATCCAAGATTAAAGGCTTTCACCCGCTCGACCGAGTGGAAAACTAGCCGCCTATGCTACCTGGCGAAACCGATGTGAAAGACAATATTCCAAAAAAAAACAAAAAAAAAAAAAAAAAAAACGTCATTTTGCAATGTTGTTGTTTCCAAAAATAGGCACAGAAAGAAGACGAAAGATCAACGGTATCAAATGTCCCTGGAACAGCAAGAGAATTTGACTCCAGTTTGATTACCACGTGTGTGTGTTGTCCTATAAGTCGTCATGATTGTAGCCGCTTGGCTATAAATATGATGTGTCGGTGGAGATGAGAGAAGAAAGCAGGGAGGGAAAGTGGGATGCCGAAGGGTAGGACACTTGGCTTCGAGAAGAAGGGATGGGCTGCGAGATGAGTATTTTGTGACGACGCTAATGTCTGCAAGTAGTTATCGAGGTTAACTCAAGGCCGCTGGACTGCCAGGGATGCATATATATCCGAGGGTTCGTCTGTATTTGTATTATGGGTGGGCGGCAAGGCTTGGGGATACATAAATAGGTCGTGATGCTGGAAGCAGTGACGTTAAAAGTGGATCCGATTTCGCGCAGATACGGTGTCGAGATCTGGCACAGATGGCCACTTAGGTACTGGTACCTATGTGCGGCTCTTCGTCATGCCCTGGACCCCAAACCGACACGACCACGAGGCATGGCATTTGGAAACCACTTACCAGCATGGCTTCGGCTAAGTGTGATGAAGGAACCGTTGACGCAGATGCCCATCTTGGGATGCGGAGAACGGGTAGATGTGACAGAACGCTGGGTACCCTGGCACTGGGGAGGTAGGGAAGCAGAACAAAGAGAAGGGTCGGGTTTGGTGTTCTATATTTGGCCAGCCAAGCGACGATACCGATGATCCGGCTTGACGTAACGGCGATGACCCAAGCAGATACCCGATGGTGTTGAGACAAGCCAGCCACAACCGCCAACGCTGCATTAGAAGCCTTTTGAGCCGCCCAGGGAAGCGCCGTGACTCTGGCTGCGTTGCATG